GGACCAACTCCAGGCAATGTGTGTGGGTTGGAGTTTGTGGAGGATGAAAAGGGTGAGAAAGGAGAATCCTACTATGATTTGTCAGGCACCAGCATCAGCTCAGCAGAGGGCTGCATGAGGATAGGGATCATGAACAAATTTGTTGATTTTTAAAATTGCATCTGAGGTGACAGGATTAGAACAGTGTAGAAAATCACTGACCCGTACCACCCCCCAGAATGCCCAAGGCTTCCACACTTGCCCATGACCCCTCTAGTGACCTTCTTCATTCTTCCCTCTCTCTTAAGATCACTTCTGTATTCCAAATGCAAAATGTTGTTGTCACTAGACACTTTTCATCCTTTCTTTTTGTGGGGCCAGGGATGCCTCCCCAGTGGTGCTCAGGAGGCCTTGGTGATCCATGGGTGATCTGAGGAGCTGAGCCAGTGCTTCTGTGCCAGGGTCCAAGGATGCGATCCGGCAGGCCTGCGTTCTCATGTCCACCCAGGTCATGTTCCGCAGCCCTTCAGAGCTGCCCTGGCATGCTCCGGGAAAAATAGCATATTGATACAACCTGTTCCAAATACCAAACATCCTCCTTCAGGTAATGAAGGGGCGCCCTCTACTGGACATTTTACTTTCCACCGTTAACTTCAGAAAAGGATTTTCCTAATCTTAAAAGCAAGTGATAGCAAAGATAAATGTGGCTGCATTAAAGGAAGAAGATCTGAACTTCAAAGAAATTATGACCAGAATATAAATATATCCCACAGAATTGAAAAAATATTTACCCAACATTTATCTGATAGCGGTTAATATCCCGGATATATAAGGCACTGGTAGAACTTTATAAAAAAAAATCCTCCAGCCCCATCCAAATATGGAGAGAAAAGATGAACAAAAATCAACCTCAAAAAATAAAAATGACCAAAAAAGCACATGAAAAAGTGTTCTACATCACCATTATCAGGGAGATGCAAATCAAAACAACAATGAGATATCTTTCTATGCCACAGAGGCTGGCACACATCAAAAAGAACAAGAACAACCAGTGCTGGTGTGGATGAGGGAGAAAGGGACTCTGATTCACTGCTGGTGATAATGCCAATTAATGCCTTTCTGGAAAATAATGTGGATATTATTTGAAAAACTAAAACTTGAGTTTCCATAGGACCCGGTAGTATACATCTTGGAATATACTCTAGTAGTGACCCAAGAACACACAGCAGAAAAGCCATCTAAACTTCTATGTTCATTGCAACACTATTCGTAATAGCCAGAATCTGGGAACAACCCTAATGTTCAAGAACAGATGAGTGAATAAAGAAACTACAGCGTACCTACACCGCAGAACTCTACATAGCAGTTAAAAAAAAATGAAGTCATGGAATTTTCTTATACATAGATGAACATGGAGAGCATCACCTTGAGTGTAATGAGTTAGAGGAAGAGGGACAAACATAGAATGATTGCACTTATTTGAAGGATATTTGAAAAATAATATATGAATAATACCCAATGACAGTAGAAGTCAGGGCTAGGAGGACTGGTCCATGGGAGGAAGCTTGCCATAAGGGGAGAGAGGAGTGCAGTTAGGATAGAGAAGTGGCCACTATGAAAATGATAGTTGGAAATGGTCACTGGGAACAAGAACTGAGTGCTGAAAGGAGGTAAAGAGATATGCATGATACCCTTCCAGTAACAGTATTGTGAACCACAGTGCCTAAGAGGAAAATGTGTGTGTGTGAGTGTGTGTGTGTGTGTGTGTGTGTGTGTGTGTGAGAGAGAGAGAGAGAGAGAGAGAGAGAGAGAGAGAGAACACCATGGAGGGAAACTAGGGACATTGTTGGGAGGAACTGTGTGCTGGCTAAGGGAACATTGTATTGTATTGGAACATTGTGTGACTGAAACTGAATCATAAACAATTTTGCATATTTAACAGTGATTCATTAAAAAGTTAAATAATAAATAATTGTGAGTTCAAAATGTGTGTGTGCAAAGCTTGTATTCAGTGACTGAGAAATACCCCCCTGGTCTCCCCAGCAGGGGAACAGAGAGACAGGGGACCACAGACTGATGGTCAAAGTAGCCCGTTTAATATAGAGCTGTTAGCGTACTTATAGTACATTTAAGGGGGGTTGAGGTATAGGATGGCATGTGGATGTGATTGGTTATTTACAGAGGTAAAACATTTCAGCAGTGAAGGCAATTCTCAGATAGATACTGTCTCCCAGGAACTTCTATATTGTTTTTTCTCTTTCCCTTTAGTTGTACATAAAAAATTAAGTTTACTTCTTATTAATACTTGCAGTTATTTGGATAAACACAGTAAGAGACATAGATTCCAGAACTAATTCTCTGGATCTGAGGGCAAGCCTGCTGGGTTTTACCATAAATCCCAGACTAGGTTCTCAGGACAGGTCAACTTGTCCTTCCCAATGGGGGTCCTGTCTCTTAAATCATCACAACTTTCATCAAGACCGTGCTTTTATGCTTTCTAGACTGTCCCATATCAATACTGTGGTAGCTTTGCCACTCGCCCTGGGTCCATCTAATCCCATGGTGGGACCTCTCTTTATGGGGTGTTAGGAACTATGGCAACAGATACCTGAGTTAAGTAATTATGACAGGAGTAGATATATCGACTCTCAAATAATAGGAGCATAGAATTAATGCAAAGTATTTAAGCAAAGAACTTTGCTTTAGAGTAAAATATGAAAAGCTGTAAGAGAAAACAAAAAAGCAAGTGATTCACTACAAATACAAAATAAATTCAGTACAAATACAGAGCCACAGGGTTTGACTTAGTAACTAACACAAATAAAGGTTAAAGATAAATTTTGGGGGTTGGGGGTGTTCATAAGAGTTCTGTAAGCTTCTCTGGGAGGAGGAAAGGAGGAAATTAACTGATGAATACTTAAACACTTAGGATTAATATTCAGCATGGGAAAATGTTTCCAACATAACCTTAAATTTAAAAAGAATTGTCAGTCCAACATGAAAACATAAACTGAAATCATGCTAAGCCAAAAAATGGCACACATTTTTTCCTTTATATGTACTTTCAAAGTATTTTAAGATGTGTACTGTCATTTTAACTTTGCATGCAAAAAATTCACTAAGCATTATTTTATTGGACTTAAATTTATTAAAATTATTAAATTTATTGTAATTAAACTGCCCCTCTCGGAGAGCCCGGCAAGCTACCGAGAGTATCTCGCCCGCACGGCAGAGCCTGGCAAGCTCCCCGTGACGTATTCAATATGCCAAACACAGTAACAACAAAGTCTCCAATGGAGACATTACTGGGCCCGCTCGAGCAAATCGATGAACAATGGGAGGGCCTTTACTTTTTTTACTTATTGGAATTAAATGGATTATTTAATATTTTATTAATGCTATAAACAAATGCATAATGATACTAAACTAATTTTGAATATAATCATTGAATTTATATTTTTAATATGATAGATTAATGACTCTTAACTTTTGTTGTTTGAAAGTAATAGAATTATTCTATTAAAAAGAAAAAGATGTAGAAGAAAGAAGCCAGAGAAATAGGACAGTGGATAAGATTTGCCTTGAACACCGCCAGCCAGGTACCATCACCTGGCATCACAAATGATCTCCAGATCCTTGACAAAAGTGCTCCCTGAGTGCAGAGCCAGAAGTAAGCCCAGTCCTCAGCTTGGAGGAACTACTCCCACTACCAAAAAAAGATGAAGAAAGAAAATTATGTAGACTTCGGCATGCTTTAAAAAAGGGGTGGGTAACTATATAGTCCTGAGATAATCTGCTAATCTTCCTTCTGTATCTCCCTACCCCTACCCAGAACATTCTTCACACCTGTTGAAAAGATTTCAGAAATTCCTATTTGAAAACCATTGCTATAGGTGGCAAAACCTAACCATTGTAGAAAACAGGATCTCATTCTGAGAGCTGGGTCAAGGGTGAGAGAACACATGATAACTTATTACATTTGCTATCAATTTAGGGAAATGTGCAATTTGTGAAGAAAACTATAAACAATCACAAGTATATCTGATTTTTAAAAAATCCATCTACGAGTTCATTTAAAAATCCATCTACGAGTTCAAAAGTAATTATACTCCTCTTTTATGGAGAGTCACAGCCGAAGACAAACAGGGGAAGAGATGATGCAAGAAGATGGTTCTGAAATGTGCAGTAGGACACAGAAGCCTCTTTCTAACTCTGGAGATAAATGTAGCCCATGAAACTGGAGGGCAATATGAAAAGGACATAAGCACCCATGCGGGGCCCAGCAAAGTGTTCCATTGAGCAGATGAACATTTGAAGCAAGGCAGAGCTAGACAAACTTCTTGAAAGGATGCTTAAGCGAGATTGGAAAAGTTAAGGCAGAAGCAGGCAAGGAGGATGATGATGGATAGCATCATCTCTACATGACTAATTGATCAATATAGCTGAAGGTTGAGTACCAGAAAGCCAAAACAGAGAGAAGAAAATTTTAAATAAAATTACTCAGGACTGAAAATGCCAGAATATGCAGTTTCACTATTAAAAGAGCTATGACATATTCAGAAAATGTGTATAAAAATTGTGGTTATAAAAATAAATATATTATGTAACCGTGTTTTCTAACACAATACAGCAAATGACTATTGATTATAGTTTATTTTATTCTTATAAGAAGTATTTATGTGTTTTTTTTCAGGCTGAGGCTGACAACATTGTGACTTTGCAATCATTTAAAGATAAGTGTGAACCTGTTTTTCTCTTTTGTGTTGTAAGTATGATAATTTTTAACACAAATATTTTCTTATTGTTAGCACAGATTCTAATTTACAGTTAAAGAGCAAGTAACCGATGTTGGAGGGCTGGTGGTAGCGGCTCGGGAGGTGCTCGCCCGCTCGGTCTCGCTCTCTCGCTCGCTTCCCCCGGCTCCCTTCGGTGCCCCCCTCCCCCGTCGCCTACGTGCCGGAGTGTGTGCGAGGGAGGGGGAGGGCGTCGGGGGGGGTGGGGGGGGGGGGAGGCGGTCCGGTCCCCCGGCGAGCGGTGGACGAGGCGAGGCTGCGAGCGGCTCCGGGAAGCCATGGACGTCGAGAGGCTGCTGGAGGCGCTGAAAGATTTCGAGAAGAGGGGCAAGAAGGAAGTGTGCCCAGTGCTGGACCAGTTTCTCTGTCAAGTCACCAAGACCGGAGAGACGATTATTCCTTTCACTATTCAGCGACTATGTGAATTGCTAACAGATCCAAGGAGAAACTATACAGGAACAGACAAATTTCTCAGAGGAGTAGAAAAGAATGTGATGGTTGTTAGCTGTGTTTATCCTACTTCAGAGAAAAACAGTTCCAATAGTTTAAATCGAATGAATGGTGTTATGTTTCCTGGAAATTCACCAAATTATACTGACAGGTCTAACATAAATGGTCCTGGAACACCCAGACCACTTAATCGACCAAAAGTTTCTTTGTCAGTCCCTATGACTACAAATGGCTTGCCTGAGAGCACAGAGAGCAAAGAGCCAAATTTACAGCAAAATGAAGACAAAAGTCGCAGTGACTCTCCGACATTTGACTCAGAAGGTTCTTCAGTGAGTCCTATAAAAAATAAACATCCAGATGAAGATGCTGTGGAATCCGAGGGACATGAGGTAAAAAGACTCAAGTTTGACAAAGAAAGTGAAGTCAGAGAGACAGCCAGTCAAACATCTTCCAGTGAAGTATCTTCAGTTATGATAGAAGAAACAGAAGCAGCATCTTCATCGCGGGACAAAAACAAAGAAAGTAGTTGTACCAGGCAGCACTGTACAGAGGAGGATGAGGAAGAGGATGAAGATGAAGAAGAAGAGTCTTTTATGACATCAAGAGAAATGATCCCAGAAAGAAAAAATCAAGAAAAAGATTCTGATGATGCCTTAACTGTGAATGAAGAGACTTCTGAGGAAACTAATCAAATGGAGGAATCTGATCTGACTCAACCTGAGAAAGATTTACATTCTGAAGTTAGTGAAAATACAGGCCCTGTAAGTAGTGATTCTGATTACCATGAATCAGAAGAATTAGTAGAATCCAATTCCAGTAAAACTGGAAAGATTCTCTCAGAATCATCTATGGAAAATGATGACGAAGCCACAGAAGCCACAGATGAACCAATGGAACAAGACTAACTATTTAGAAACATTTAGATGCAGTATTTTACATACAGTTCTGGTTTTACACTGTATAAAACTTTTATGTAATAAAGTGGACCTTTAGTTTTACAAGAGAAGCAGGTTGTAAAATAAAGTACTTTATGGGATAAATCCTGAGAGTTGTATGTGAGAACTGTGAATATCAGCTCCTCTGGGTCCTGCTTACCGCTGACTTTTTTGGGGTCTGGTCAAATCAGTGGTTTGTGTATAGATTTTTTTTTTAAATTTAGAATTAAAGGTTTTAAACTGGAAGGTAATAATTATAATTTTAAAAACCTTTTGGAGATTATCACATTTAGTTTACTACATACGCAAAAAAGCTTTTTGTCTTCTCTCTTTGGGACATCTGTAGCAGTTTTTGTATTTTGGTCATACTTTCAACATTTTAACGTGAATTATAGGGTTTCATGCTGGTTTCCAGATTTTGTTTGGCTATGTACAATGGAACGTTAAGTCATATATACATATACATATATATATGTGTGTGTGTGTGTGTGTATATATATTATTCTAAGGGGGAAAATGTTATATTTTTCTGTTTCTATAAGAGATGAATACAGTGGATACTTTTTCTATTGGTAATGATTGAGTTCACCTCTTTCAGAAGACAGTTTCTTTCTCTTCTGAGAATTCAAATAAAATCTGGCCCTTGTGAAACCCTGGAAATGTTAAGTCTGTTGAAATACTAGGTTAAACACATTCCAAGAGATCTGTTCAACTAAAATTCTTTTGTATACTTCTGAGGTGCCTGAGAAAAAGACTTCATTATTTATGAGAAAATGTGCTTTATCTTGGAAATTGTGTTCAAACATTAGCGTACTATTTTGTAGAATGAATGCTTGTAAAGTTGATAGGAGTCCATCTCAGAAGAACCAGGGAGGTTCCTTTTACCTTTTGCTTGCTTTTCTGAACATTGTGAATATTACACATTCTTCCTAAATTATTCTAGAGTATGCAAATGTCAATGGTATGAAACACCACTGTACTGGAAGAATTAATATATTACTTAGCAATGTGTACCAGAGCTAAATGACTAAAGCTTTAGCGGTGCATAAAAACCACCATAATTTGTATGACATTTTGAAGTGAATTAAATATTTTTGGACATGCTTCTTTGACAGCCAGTGTTATATATTTCAGATCAACACAAAGCACAATGATTACTCTAAACTCGATATTTTCAAATTCACATATTTAAAGTCATACAAGCTGCAACTTCCCTGTCAAAATTACTGGCTGCCAAATTTATACCTGTTTCTTCAGCTGTACCTTTTGATATTTAGAATTTTTAAATTTCTGTAGATTTTGTAGAATGTAATGTGTTCACTGCCTTTGTGAAGTGGTATATAATTGTATAATTTCTGTGTGTAAACGAATGCTTGGGCTTTCAATACAGTATTCCTATAAAGCAATAAATATTAATGTTATGAAAAAAAAAGAGCAAGTAACCTTGCAATTTATCATGGCACATTTTTCTGGTAATAGAAAATAAAGAATATTTTTTGCCTTCTCTTTATTTTTCTATTAATATATTTCATAATATGACATTTAGGAGTTCATTATGAATTAATGAACTTTCACATGCAGGATTATAGATTTACGTATACTGAATTGACTAAGAAACATTCTCAAAAATAGTGTTTCCCTTTCCTTTGGAAATAATCAAAGATGTGTACACTAAATAATTATTTATAGAAGCGGAAAATTGGAAATTGTCTCACTACCCAACAGGAAATAATTGGTTCTAAATGTTCACATATATCTATATATAAAATTTATGTATGATTATTATTTTGCAATATGTATTTCTTTTATTTTTATATATATACAAATGCACTGAAAGACTATCGGAAGTGTTTTGGTTAAAATGGTAGTTTTTTGGAGTGTGTTTATTGTTTAATTTACTATTAAGTACTACTTTTACTGAGACATTGTTATAATACTGGTTATGGTTTAGGAATACAGGCTTACACTTTTTCAAGTATATGAAACCAGCCACACCACCTAAAATACTAGTTCCCCTGCAGCGTAGGCTGTTGGAAATGCTCTACTCTTTCAGTATGTGTGGGAGAGAATGCATGTTGTGGGGGCTCTTCTATATGCACTTCTATGTGTTACAAGTATTCTGTGCTTAACATCCAGAGTTAATAATAAAAGGATACAAGTATTGTTTTCTAAAACAATAATATAAGAATGTGTTGACATGTGTCAGAAAACAGCTATGACAGAGCTAACTAACTGAAATATTAAGGCATTTCACAGCGAAGGTTTAGACTGTTTCTCTACTTCTGTATACCTCAGTCATTCTTTGAGCTTTGAAATAACTATGTTAAACTCTTACTGAGTACACCTTTATGCTTCTGCCAAACAAAATTCTTGGAACTATATCAAGGAATCAAATTACTGGATTACTGAATAGTTCACTGCAGATCTTGCTCTCATTTGGATATGTTGGATTTGATGATCAGGTGAGAGAGAAAATGGCTCTTTCTGTTTTGTGAAAATATTTGTAGTTTCAAAGAAATCCAGTCTCTGCAGTCATCACCCTGCCAGGTCAGTTGTATCTGGTCAGTACTCCCATGACTTCTTTCCTTAAATAGCCCAAATGGCCAGCCCAAATGTCCATGCTGGCAGTTAGTACCTGTAGTAGAAGTCCACCTTTCCACCCAGCTATGCCTGGTACATTTTTATAATGCTCAAATTTTTCTTTCATGATATAGTTTTACAAATCTTCCTCTATCAAGTCCTTTTAGTGTGTGACATCTGCATTTGATACTAACATTTGGCAGATACACTAAGATCTTTAACATGGTTCTCAGTTTTTGCTCAATTTTGTGAGTTAAAAATATATAGTAAACCATTATTCTATTGCCCAGTGGAGGCAACAATTTTCTCAGATTATTGTGCTTGAGGCCATGAGTATAACTAATGTTTTCCTTATTTATTTCTTCAGAAATTTTCTTTTCCTAGCTCCTTACAGGGCCACGCAACTTAGCTCTTACTTACTTCTACTTACTTAATTACTCTTACTTACTAATAGTTACATCACTTCTGTAGCTGACTAAGTATTTTGACATGTAACTCAAAGTTTTCATTGTAAATCTAAATTTTGACATACTGGAACTTCATTACTATTCTGGTAGTCCACATAACCACATTCGCAATTAATTCAATGTCTGGATTTTCAATTCCTTACCTTCTAAATGAAAATGAATTTAGTTTTGCTTTAGGGTTTTTGTTGTTGTTGTTGTTTGGTAGCCACACCTTGGGATGCTCGGGGCTTACTCTTAACTCTGCACTCAGAAACTACTTCTGGTGATGCTAAGGAATTGTCTGTGGTGCCTGGGATGGAATTGTTGTATAAAAGGCAAGTGCCTTATCATCTGGACAACATTGTTAACAGCTAAATTTCTTAAAAGAGTTTCATACTCCATTTGCTTATGTTCCATCAACTCCTCAGCACATTTAGACTATCATTTGTTTAATTAATACACCAAATTTGCTGTTGTCAAGATATTCAATTAGTAGTCTGTTGCTAAATATAATGGACATGTTTAGCACTCAGCATTGTGCTCCTTTCAGTTTTGAAAATAATGAATATGTACTCTTTCTTGAGATATTGTGGGATTTGTTTGGGGGAGGTGATTTTTTTACTTGGATTTATTTTTGCGTTCATAGATATTACTCCTCTCTCCATCATTTTTGCAGGGTTACCCTTCTTTATTCAGTTATTAACTTCAGTTTTTATCATGATAGACTCCTTAGACTATTTCAATTCACTTAATCACTTAATCACTTAATTTCCCGTTAGTCATCGATTTGCTCGAGCGGGCGCCAGTAACGTCTCCATTTGTCCCTGTCGCGTGCTAGTGTAGCCCAATGGCATCTGTTCGCTCCGGGAACATGAAGGGCCTCAAACCGATCGTTCATGATCTTGACGAAGAAGTCTGACCATCTGGTAGGTGGGCGGCCACACAGTCTTTTGACATCCCATGGAATCCAGTCGGTAACAGCTCTAGTCCAGCGGTCGTCTTTAAATCTCATTACGTGACCAGCCCATCTGATTTTCGACACCTTGGCAAATGAGAAAGCGTCCCTGATTCTTGATCGTCGACGGATGTCAGAACTCCGGATTCTTTCTCTCATTTGAGTGAAACGTGATATTCCAAGCATAGCTCTTTCTATTCTTCTTTGGGAGACCTGAATAGTGTTCTCATCCTGTTTGCGTAGGGCCCAGGTCTCTGAGGCATATGTTAATGCAGGAAGACCAGTGGAATCAAAGAGATGTGCCCGGAGCCGGAGGTTCTTCGTCCTCTTAGCTATTTCTTCGACGTTCTTGAAGGCGTTCCAAGCCACTCTCTTCCTCCTGCACAGCTCGGGTGCCAGGTCATTTGTCATGTTGACCTCTCGACCTAGGTACACATAGCTGTTGCATTCGGAGATGGTCGTTCCTTTGAGAGCGAATGGGGCGTCAGTAACGAGGCTGTTTCTCATAAACATTGTCTTCGTAAGATTCAGCTGTAGTCCTACCTTTCCACACTCACGGTCAAAGTCGGCCAGCATTTGTGCTGCTTGGCTGATGTTTGGTGTTATTAAAACAATGTCATCGGCAAAGCGGAGGTGGTGTAGTTGCCGACCATCTAACTTCACTCCCATTCCTTCCCATTCCAGTCGTCGCATGATGTTCTCGAGCGTGGCACTGAAGAGTTTCGGTGAAATGGAATCACCCTGCCGCACCCCTCTCTTGACATCAACGATCACTTCTTTGTAGAATGGTGAGATCCTAGTAGTGAATCCGCAATACAGCTCACGGAGGATCCTGATGTATTGGGCTTGAATGCCCTGATTGGCTAGGGCTTCAATGACCGCTTCCGTCTCAACAGAATCAAAAGCCTTCTTTAAATCAATGAACGTTAAACAGAGCGCATCTTGAACTCCTGAGAAACCTCAATGAGCTTGGTTATCGTGTAGATATGGTCGATGGTGCTGAATCCTTTGCGGAACCCGGCTTACTCGCATGGTTGTCCTTCATCTAGTGTTCGGCCAATCCTATTTAGGATGACTCAAGTGAACAACTTGTAGATGACAGACAATAGGCAGATCGGGCGATAGTTGCCAATGTCATGGATGTCTCCCTTATTGAACAGTAGTACGGTCCTGCTGGTTTTCCACTGGGACGGAACCTTGCATTCAGACAGGTAGCAAGTGAAGAGCCGAGCCAGTGTATTGAAGAGTACTGACGGCAGGTTTTTCAGGTGTTCAGGTCTGACCTTGTCTGGGCCGGGTACTGTTTGTTTCTTTACCGACAAAATGGCGTGTCGGATTTCGGAAGGGAGAACGTTGGGAACGACATATCCATCCTGTGGAATTTGGTATGTCGGCAAGTGGACAGGGCTGTCGAAGAGATTTGAGTAGAAGTCATGGATAATCTTCTCCATTGCCGTTCTGGAGGATGTGATGGATCCATCAGGACGTCGGA